AGTTGCGTGCCAAACTGTTCAATAAAGCTAAGGATATGATCCCAGCATTTGAAAATAAACCTTCAGAGAAAAAATTCATGGAATTGTTACAGAATGAAAACATTATTATACCAGTAGCACAGTTCATAAGTAAAAGCTTTGAAGTCAGGAAGCAGGGTCTTACTTGACATCTTAATGCCTGCTGTCAATTTTGTAATTTTATATTAGATTGTATTTTAGAGATTTTGTATTATTTAGTAATTTAGTGATTGTATTTGTTATTTAGTATATTGTGTTTTTTTTTTTTTTTTTTTATATATTTATTACTCCTTGTACTTTGTGACCATTTTCTTTCCCTCCGGGGATTGTGTAAGAGTCAATAAGTAAATAAATAAATAAATAAATAAATAAATAGTTAAATCGTCAATGCATACACATTATTCATATGCATATCTTATTTATAATCTGATGTCAAATGTTTATTTTGTTGTAAATCATGAAGACTTTGAGCTGAAAAAGTTACTAATGAATACAATTGTTATGATGAGTAAAGACTCCAATACAATTCCTGTGAGTATATGCATTGTATTATTCAACACTTCTTGTAGCTCAAATTCCATTATCTTCTTCATAAAATTAAAAATTAAGCCCAGAGAAATCTATTCAGGTTCCATCTTGTATATCACTCCCATTTGAAAATGCACAGCTTTTATTAGCTCCGCTGTCGACTTTGTCAAGTGGAGCTTATCATATAAGTGATTGTCCTTCGGCGTCCGGCGTCCGTGTCAATGTTTTACATTTTTCACTTCTTGTTGAAAACTACAAGCCTGAATGCTTTGATACTTAGTGTATATGTACTTTGGGCATACTTCTCTTGGATTTGTTTATTTCATGATGATTGTCATTTTTGCTAAAAAGTGATATTTTTGATTTCTTGTTGAAATCCAATTGCTTAGATATAATACATATAGGTACTACATGTGGACCTCTCTCAGATTTGATCATTTTGTGATGATCTTCAATTATCTAATTTTGATGAATATTTTTGTCATTTTTGGTAAAAAGTGATATTTTTGAATTCTTGTTGAAAAAAGCAAGTCCGATTGCTTTGATACTATACATTTTCTAATGACATCTTCAGTTCTTTAATTGAAATGTGCATTGCTAACAGTGGAGCTATCTCAGCCGACAGGCTGCTTGTTACAGGTTTTTGTGACTTTTTGGTGCAAATTAGCCTCATGGTGAGGATACACATGTATGTTGGGAATGAGTCTACAAGAAATCCAAAATAGCTATTATATGTGTTAAACATTATCAAAACATAACTCAGTTTATGTAATATTGCTTCATCTATTCATCTACAGTTAATATCTGATGGCAGAGTATTGCTGGCACTCTTCTCATTTGTACGCAATAATGAAAACATATCAGGTCCCCAAGACTGGTCACCGGCTCAGTTTGAAGAACTTCAGTTACATGCGATGGCGTCATTAGCGTCACTCTCACCACTATGTGTGGATGATTATATGACTTGTCAAGGTAGTACTAGATTATTGTTGTTACTGGAATGGTGTGTCAGCCAAGGTGAGTTCAACTGATAAAATTTACATAGCTACTTACACATGCTTATTTTGCTGAGTGTGTATTTTATTTCATACACTGGTTGAGACAGAATTACATTTCCTTATACTAGTAATACTAGATTGTGACCATACTTTATAAAGGTTGCTTTACAACATTTTGAACTCCATCTTTACCAGTTTATGACAAGCATACTCTATGTATATGATGTCAAGTATCATTTAACATGCAGCCACATGATTCACATAGTAATTAATTCAAACTTTTCAGGACTATCACTCAAGAAACTCAACAAAACATTCACATGCTATCTTTATGCATGTTATGAATTTTCATAAAATATGTAAGAAAGTAGAAAAAACAGGACAGGAAAACAAAAGAAGCAAGTGTTCATCAGACATGAGACTTGGTCGCATCAAATTTTATTTAATTAAGTAGGCCACATAAGACACATAAGTTTTTTGTGTGATGAAATGCTGAGCACATAATTATAGCAAAATCTTTGTAAATGCTTGGTAATGTTTGCTTGATACGTCTCACCTTTATATATGTGGTTTGTATATGGCACATACTACTTCAAAGGCTACAAACAAAATTTACCCCATAGTACAACTTTCATAACTTTATCTCACACATTGCATTATAAAATGTTGGCAGGTAAAGACTCTAAGCTCAGATCTCCCAGTCATTAATATGTACCCTATTTTTCTGATCATATCTTTGAAGATGACTTTGGTGGTCATGGCAATGCTTTTCATGGTAGTGGAGGAAGAGGAAACAAAAGAGCTCAGATGAGATACTGTCTTCATATTATCCGCAGTATGGTATCACTCGGTGATGATGGCATTAATCAGGATATGGTGGACCAGGGAGCTATCAGTCAAACTATTAGTAAGTACTTATGTGAGTACTTCTTTGCATACACTACAACAAATAGTATCAAGTTCTTAGATTTTAAAACAGTTAACATTATATCAAAATATTTATGCTTGGTGTATTTACTAGCGTGGAATCCAGCCATTCTGAGTACACTAAAGCATGGCCTTGTGAATCACTAGGTTATTACATAGTCGACACAGAATTCTGCACTCGTATACAAAGACTGTACATAAAGCCCACCCACAACCCTCTATATAGACCTATTCACTAGTCTATTATTCTTATGATCATATACATTATCTAGTCCACCGTAAAATCTGTATTAGAAGCATCCATTTTTTTTGAACAATTGAGAACCAAAAAATCACAATTTCTCATATGTGTAGATGCTCAAATAAGCCGCATCCCCTCTGTTGCATTGTAGGATTTTAATAGAAACCGTGTTACTTATTTACATTCACAATCATTTGAAATGTAAATCAAGTAGAGAAAACAGATTTAAACCTTCATGCAGCCATTTATTGTTTGGAGTAAATACTTTTATATTGTGGTAATGTCATGAATTATAGTTTTTAGTTATTTTAGTTTTTGTGCCAAAAAAAAGCCATTGGTCATGTACATTATAGATAATGGTAAAAGTTTGCTCAGGGCTTGTTGTAGGCGAATGAGTGCCTTTGGGTTATTTGGGTTTTGTTGTCCAAATATCATCTAAACTCAACAAAAACAGTGAAGTTATGTGGTCACTTTAATTTGTAGACGTATACTGTTGTCAGTCATGTCAAATTTGTGTTATGGCAACCTAGGTATGATTAGTGTTAGAAAACTATAATTGCAGTGTTTCTCTTCTTAATACAGACATACTGAACAATGCTTGCCATTCTCAAGATGAAGATGACTCTATAGATCTAGAAATTCAGTGTGACATGCTGTTCATTGTATCAGCTCTGTGTGAGGGCGACCTGCACAGGAAAGAACTGTTTGGAAATCAAGGAGTAGATGTAGTGTTGCAGTATTTGAAGACCAATCCAAAGAAAATTACCAGTGGTTTGGGTCATCATAAACTAATGTTAGCAACTGTGGACTGCATCTGGTGCTCTGTAGTGGGATGTTACATGAATGAAGATCTCTTCTTGGAAGGAGAAGGGCTGTTTCTCATGTTAGACCTCCTAGAGGTGAGTTTACTAAATGCACATTTAATATACCGTAAGTCCCCTTATGATTCAGTATGTAATATTATTAATATACAGAAAATAATAGTCATAGTCCTTCATAATTATTATTCATAATATAACCAGATATTTCAAACAATGTATCTTTTTTCAATGATACCCTTATGAATACAGTGATACAAAACACACATAATGACGAGAATATTAGTCTAAGCATATTACAAACAGGTCAGATAGTAGTCATCAGAAATGGGCCAAACAGTGGTTCTACTGTACGTCGAGTACATTGTTTTGCTGAACTCCTGTGGTATACCATCTTTATTGGTGTCATTACATTATTATTATTTATTATTATTACATTTTAGTTCTAGGGAGCATAGCATTTCAGATATGTCCATATCAGGGTTGTGTGTTGATAGCTGCTACAAATTTTTATTTTTAAACTTAGAATGGTATTTAATGGAATGGATAAACTGTTTATATCAATTCCAATGATTACCATGGTACCAGTACTTTGTCTGAAACATCTGTGTAACAAGGTCATTGAGTCAGGTCAAATATTAACCCAAAACGCCCAATAATATGCTTAACATGGTATATTTCACCATGCACCAATGTGAATACATGGTAAGGGGTAAGATGACCAAAACATGCATTACACACACCACAGCAAGGTAGATAACAATCATGCAAAAAGGAGAAAGAACATTCAATACTTTTCACATATATATTTGTAAAATACATGTATCACAAAAATACACTAGCCAGGAATAAATTCTATGATTTAATGATATTAATAATAACTGAAAGCCCAGGACTAGTGTAAGTGTAGGAATGTTCTGTACTTGCATGAATTTCCTAACAAGTGTCAAGTCGTGGCATTTGTTGTAAAATTACCTTATCTAGTTAATCCATATATCTATTCTACATGTACATTTTCTTATATATCTAATCATGGTTTGGTATACCCACAGGCTTGTCCCAAGAACATGCACAACTTGATACTGGGGTGTATCCTGGATCTCTGTGAGAATCCTAAATCAATTCACCATGTAATGACATGGCGGGGTGTTGATGACAGGACAGCACCTAGTCTTTTTGTTGAAATATGGAGAAAGGAAGAGGCAGAGATGGGAGTGAGGAGAGGCCCCCTTGGTACCATTGTTGGTAAGTAATGATATATTGACATTTGTACCCTAGCCCAATGCTAACATCATGTTGCTGTGATATGTTGCATGCAATATTCATTTGTACCTAATTATGTAAAAATGGTCAAAACTTTTTGACAGCTGACAATTTTGATGTATTGTTGATAGATCTTTCCATCATGTTATCCCAGTAACAATTCTAGCTCAAGGCAGTGTGATACATTCTCATAATATATAACGATGCCAGAAGCACATTAAAATGTTTAAGTTTTAATTTTTTATTTTCAAAATGTAAGGAATATTTCATGTGTATATTTTTATGGTGTTTCTGAATATAAAATATTAATGAAGTATTGAGGTGATATTATTAATTAGATTATTTCAAGTCTATCACAGTATTGCATCAGATGACAGTTTTACAGGCTCATTGTTGATCCACACATACAAAACTTCCTAATGAAATTTCCAATGTACCCTGGTAGGTAAAACTGAGATTAACGTATTAGAATTTGGCAAAGAAATTACTTTTTTAAAAGTAAAATTAGAAGCGTAGATTTACCATTTTCAGATATGCATGCATTGATCCATTCATGTATTACCACTTATACAGATACCAGTCAACCACTGATGGGCTTGTTACAAGAGAAACAAGGAGTCATTTCTTTGCCTGCCCATTGTCCAAGTCAAGCTATTGTTGATGTTTCTGAAAACATGCGTGCTAAGATTTATGCTTTGTTTTGTAAGATAGGTAAGCTTAACAATTACGGTATTTTCCATAGTTCCATATAATTCACAGAATTCTTCATGTGCATAAAACTGAAAGATATATAACGCAGTATTTTCTTATTCACAGTGAATAACCTCTTTATTATACATTCAACAGCTCATGTAAAGTGTTAAATCTAAAATAAATTCAGATGACTGGATTCAAATGATCCTTGCAGTTAGAATACTGCCTATGCCACCACACACTGCCAATTTGTGGTGAAATGCCACAAGACTTTTTATATGCATATTTTTGCCATTTTTTTTTTATTAGGGGGCTCTTGGGTGGTATTGACAGCTAACTCATTCTACTGCCACTTTGTTTGTGTTTTACTGCAGTGTTCCAAATGAAAATATCATATTAGTGGATAACACAATATTTATTACCCAAATATGTGTTTGTCTCTCTGTATATATATACAGTCAACAATTATAGATATGTTACAGTAACAGTGTATCATACTTTACTGTCAGTGATAAAACAAAACTAATGACTGCCTTGTTGTTTTCCTATCATATTTGTCTGTGTCTTTCAACAGGATTTGGTGACCTTCCTGGTTTGACGACAGAGGATCAAGTCACAGTCACTATCATTGAGAGATA